ACGACTCAATCTTGGGGTCATGAGTTCAAGCCCCACAGTGGGTGCAGCGTTTACTTTAAAAAACAAAAATTCTTTGAGCATCAGCTCTGACTGGCTACCTGGGATGTACTGAGAAATGAGACAGTCTCTGCCCTCCAGCAGCTCAAGGTTCTTGATGAAGTCTTTCTGACACATTCAGCCCACCAAGGCCTCTCCCTTCTTTCAAGACCTAAAATGATCGCTTCACCACTCACTCATTTTGGTATCTAGTCATAATTTATTTTATGCTGTTTTCTAATGTTGCATGTGTATGCATGTTATTTTTAGTGAAATAAACCGCTGGAGGACAGAGTTCATGTTTTTTACTTCATTACTATTTTGTATTACAGAATCAAGCAAGGACCTGAGTCCAGAGTAAAATTTCAAACATTCCTTAGATTGCATTCTGCCAAGAAATAAAGGTCTGTATTCTATATCTTTACGTCTTTGAACCTGGGAACAATTTTGAGATAGGCTTGTAAAAAAAAGTAATAAATAAATGTAATCCCAGGACGTGCATATACACAAAACTTTGGATCAGAAAACAATCAACAAATATCAAGTGCCTTTACTGTAATTAAAAAAACCCCAAACATCTCTGCATTTATGCCTATGTACTTTAGCACACAAAAAGGTCATGAGATTTAGAGAACAGCCGCAATTATTAAGAGGACAAATTTAAAGGACAATTATAATAGCTAATTACTGTAGGCAAATGGTACACTATGAAAAAGAGGTACAATCAGCTGTCTATTAGAATGCTAAAGATAAATTTGGGGCCATTTTCATGGTGATTGAAGGACAATGGTACAGAAGTACCTTCATGGAAGCAATTCTAGGAGACTGAAAACTGGACAGCATAGAACTGTGGAGTCTGCATGGTTTGCGGGGGAGAAGGGAATTATGTTGGACTTTATCTAGTCCAATCATGACGGTAACAGAGCTAGATGGGGTCTTATCATGAGGCTCTGTCATAACAAGAAAAGAAGGTATTACTGATGAGGTACACTAACTTAGTTTGAGGAATGATCACATATCTGTGATTATGAATGGCACATACACATTGAACCCAGATATTTTTCTCAGCCAAATTTGAAACACGTGACCAAAGATGGCTTTACAAACTTCAAAAATTATAAAGGGACGCATTACACAGTAGAAGGGGTACAGCAACATGATTGACAACATGAGCTCTGAAAGTCAGACTGCCTGCGTTTATAACCCAGTCCTGCCACTTACCAGCTGTGGGAGCTGGGGGCAAATTTAATGCCTCAGGTTCCTCAAACAAAAAGCAGAAGTAATAACAGGACGTACTTCACAAAATTGTGGTGAGGGTTATAACACACACAAAGTACTCAGAAAAAAAGAGTCTGGCACATGGTAAGCTCTCAATAAATGGTAGCTATTAATATGCTTCTGGAAGTCATAGCAAAAATCAGGAAACAAATTGACTTTTGAAAGGTTCAAATATATTTAGGAATGGGAAATCAATATATGGTTACTCACAAAACTGGGACATACCCAACCTTAAGGTTGGTGATGTCTGGACAGGATGAACCAGTACAGCAATGCCCATTTTCCATAAGTTTTCAACTCTAGAAGGTAATGACCATTAGGTTTGATAACACTTTCATTACTTTTGCAAAAGGCATAAGAGCAATATGGGAAAAAGGGGATAGGGAAGAGAGAATTAGATTGGCAGGTAAGGTGATGTTCTTAGAAATACCATTGTGTGGGGCGCCTGGGTGGTGCAGTCGGTTAAGCGTCCGACTTCAGCCAGGTCACGATCTCAACTGAGTTCGAGCCCCAAACACAGTTTGGCTTCACGGCTGAGCCTGGTCTGCTTCCCATCTGCCTCCCCTCCTCTCTGCCCCTCCCCTGTTCATGCCTGTCTGTCCTCTCTGTCCCAAAATAAAAACAACGCTGAAAAATTTTTTTTTAATAAAAAAAAATACCATGTCGGCTGTCATGGTGTGCAAGTTGGTTGGTGCACTCATTGTTGTAGGATTTCAAATCTAGTAAAAAAAAAAAAAAAAAAGTGAAGGGGATAGGTCTAGCACTCCACCTTCAGTTATGGCACTTTTCCCTTTACCCATGACATTGTTCCAAAAAGGAGCCTTTTCAGTTCCAGGAGACACAACCTCTTTCCTGCCTCAGGGTCTTTTGCAGATTGATCCCTTAAGCTTTAGAAATGGAACTCCCACCACTTTCCTTGTAGCTACTTCTTCATCCCACTCCCGAACTTAGCAATTCCTCTTTCTAAAAAACGTTATTTATTTTGGGACAGAGAGATACTGAACGGAGGGTGGGGTGAGAGGGAGGAAGACAACAGGTGACGCTCCAGGCTCCCAGCCTCAGCCCCAGAGCCCGGCTGCTGGGCTCTGAATCACGGATCCGCTGGCGATCGTCGACTCTGGCTGAAGTCGACGCTTTGCATCTGATTGAGCATCACCAGGCGCAAAAATTCCCAACTTAAAAGTCACTCCAGCCACCTATTTAGAGTAGTTTCTCCTGGGGGTGCCTGGGTAGGCTCAGTTGGTTGCTGCCTGACATGGTCATGATCTCACAGTTCACGAGTTTGAGCCCTGCATTGGGCACCTCGGGAACCGCCTCAGATCTTCTGCCTCTCTCTCACCCCTCCCAGTTGTACTCCTCTCTCCTCAAAATAAAAAAAAAAAAAAAGAAAGAAAAAGGAACATTCTGGCTTTTTGCTCGGGTGTCTATTATTAACAGGCCGGTCATGATCTCATAGCTTGGAAGTTCAAGCCCTGTAAATGGATCCACAGCTTGGCTGGAGCCTGTGTTTTGATCTCTCTCTGCCCCTCTCCTAGCATCATGTTCTGTCTCTCTCTCTCTCCTTCAAAAATAAACATTAAAAAAATTTTTTTTGAAGTAAATTCCCCTTGTTACTTTCTACCTTAGCAACCTGTTTGCTTCTTGCACTGCCCAGCATTTACCACAATTATTATTTTAAATAATTGAATTATTATTATTTTTTGCTTATTTTTTATGTTTTCTTCACTAAATAGTTCCAGGATGGTAGTGAACATCTTTGCTCAATATATTATCCTCAGTTAAGCTTACCATTCAGACTAGCACATAGTAGGCACTCAAAAAAAAATCTGCTGAATCAATCATGAAGCAGTGATTCCTAAGAGCGCTTACAGCTATGATTACACTAATCAAATGGCTCCATTGCAAGAAGTTTAGTTGGAACTTGACTGATGTAATGTTAGTGATTAGCACCTTCTCCAATGACTTTGTAAGTTTTGCTTTCAGTTTTGCCTTACTCATTTTAACAACTGGTCATCTAGGCCCAAACTTCTACCCAACAATTGGATTGGCTACATAACAATTATCTGAGGAGCTTATTAAAAATACAGATTTTTGGATCAAAGCTCCAGAAGATTCTTAGTTAGTACTTGTGTAATGAGGCTCTAGAATCCATATATTTAAAACTTTGTTTATTTTGAATAATGTTATGTGTGTAGTACACAATTCAAAAGGTACAAAAAAAGTTTATTGTGAAGTCTCCCTTCTATTCCTGTGGCATCAAGTTTCCCTTGCCATAAGTTACCACTGTTTCAGTTTCTTATGTATTCTTCCAGATAATTATTTGCCTACATGAGCATGTATAAATCCTTTGCTTTCAAAACATATGAATATTTAAAGAATTGTTCCAACTTTGCTTTTTCTACTCGTACTCAACAAAACGTTGAAGGTGAAGTTCCCTGTCTGTTGAACAAGCATCCTAGGCGATTCTGATGTGAAGCCAAATATGAGTAACCATTCAGTGGCCTAGGGTTAAGAGACTGAGTTCAACTCACTAAGATACATTAGAAACTCAAGGACATTGAAAAGATGCCCTCAAAAGTAGCCTTGCTTACTTGACCTCTGCCCTCTTGCCTTAACCATGAGGCAGAGAGAAGGAGACACAGAATCCGAAGCAGTTTCCAGGATCTGAGCTGTCAGCACAGAGCCTGACGCGGGGCTTGAACCCACAAGTGGTGAGATCATGACCTGAGCTGAAGTCGGCCGCCTAACCGACTGAGCTACCCAGGCGCTCCAAGGACACATTTTCTAATGCGTCCATAAAAGCCAGGAAAGACTAGCCATTTAAGCGAATGTTGCCAAAGTTGTTCAATTTTTCAATTCCTAAAATCCTTTCCTGCCCAATATCACCTGAAATCGCAAACTCGACCATTTCTATGTTAGATGAGACATTTTTGGTATTTGGCTTATAATGAGGTTTGATGTGCAGTGAACTAGGGCTGATTTTCTCTCCTGGCAGTTAAGTAGTTTAATGGAGCACAACCGAAATACTTCCTTTACTGACCCTTACTGACACAACAGTATCCAGTCCTCCGCGAGAACTGCTTTCTAACCATCTGGGCAAAAGCAATTAACTTAGAAACTGTAGAGAAGACCGCATCGTCAGGTCAGAACTTGGTGAATTCTCGAGTCCGGACTCCAGTAGACCTGACTTCACCTCTACCTGGGGGCGATGGCTGGGCCCCTTGTGCAGCTCTAGCTTCCTATTCCCATCTACCCCAGAGACTGCAGTTTCCTTTTGGCACGGAGGAAAGGCTCTCTAAGGGCCACCCCGGAATCTCCTCCGCAGTGTCCCTTTCATCACGAGGGGCACCGCGCGGCAGGCACCCTCACCTCCCTTACACTGCGCCGAGGAAGGAGTGTAAAGGGTTCCCCAAGTGAGGCAGGGAAGACGCCGGGATGCAGCGCCAGCTTAGCTTGCGGCTCTGAGGGGCAGCGGGAGGGCGTGACTCCTCCGTCCCTTCCTCCTGGACTCAAACGTCAAGACAGAAAAAGTGGGGTTCAAGGCGCCCAAACCTCAGACCTCTCCCTTCTCCACTCGGGCTTTTCTCCATCCTCTGGGCCCCGCGTCTCCCCCTGAGCCGTGGTCCAGGCCTCCCTACCTCGGCCGGCCGTCCCGGCACCCTCTCGCCCGCCCCCAGCCCCCTCACCCAGCATGATGGGGCTGAGCCGCCGGGCCAGGCCCTTGGACAGGTCGTACACGTAGAGCTTCACCGGATAGAGATTCGGCGGCTCCATCGGGACCCGTGGCGGCGGTGGCCACGAAGTCCCTCAGGCGCCCGGTAGCAGCTTGGACCTTCCCGTACCCGACGGGGGTGGGGAGCGTAGGGAGCGGGAGACCGAGCCCAGGCCCGGCCTGAGGGGCAGGGGAAAGGCGGCCCTGCGCTGCACGCGCCCCGACACCCGCCACGGGCAACGACTACTGTGAGGTGACAGAGCCGGGACGGGCAGGGACCGCGCTGAAGAGGAGGCGGGGACGAGGACGCAATCTTGCGCATGTGCCTACCGTCCCGACGGGCGGCGAGGGGCGGGGTTTCGCAGGAAGGGGCGGGGCTTTCGCAGATTGGCTAGGTTAGTTAGGGACGATTGTGGAAAGCGGAAGGTGGAGGTGGGCGTGTCAACTTGACGCGAATGCGCGCACTGTGCGTGATGACGTAGGGGACGTTGATTGGGAGCGAGAACTACAGCCCGTGCGTGCGCGGTACCCCGCCTTCTGTCCAAATTGATCTGTTCCTTGCACCTAAGGTAGGCGGTTTGGGAGTGTTGTCTGCGTGCATTGCTTTCCGGCCAGGGCCGCCCTCGGCCTGCTTCGCTCTCTGAGTCTTGCGCGTCCTTCTAGCCTTACCGCGGAGCAGGGCTAGCACAAAGCGTGCGGACCTGCGTGGTAGAGACAGTTTCTGGTCCCAGTTCCGTCTTCCGTAGGGGGCGGCACCTGGCCTTTGAGGCCCACCTACGTTTGAGACTCCGCTGGGCGTGGCTGGAGGAGGCGTTGGGGGAGATTTTTGGGCGTGATGTAGAGTAGTGGGTTCGCTGGAGGGCGGAGTATTCTGGAGCAGGAATATCGTATGTCCAGCTGGTGCCGGAGGCCAGACGGGACCTCCAGGTTGGGCTGCCCCAGCACACCAATCAGAGGACCACCTGGGCCACCACCAGCCCAAAAAAGGCCCTAAGGGATAGCTGCAGTGAAGCTGCTGCTGGAATGATGCCCATGACTAATGGATCTCAATCACTGAGAGATCTGGAGGCAGCAGGATCCGCTTCCACATTCCTCACGAATAATCTCGAGACTTTAGGAGCCTAGGATTCGATATTTTTTAGGTTTAAATTTGCTTGTTACTGATCATAACTTTATTTCACCGGGTGAGCAGTAAACGCTATGTCAGGTTGGGAGTCTTATTACAAAAACGAAGGCGATGAAGAAGAAGAAGAAGAAGAGGGCCTTGAAGCAGGTGGTAAGTGGTTTTAACCTTTGCTGTTCTGTGTGTAAGAAAGCCTTTCCCTGTCTATTTCTGCTGTTTCATGGCTCACCCTTCTCTCCCCAATGTCCAGTGCTTTTTCCCTTTGAACTTTGCAGAGCTACCCTAGACTCTTTTATTCAGATTCTGCTCTAGTCTATGGGACATTCCTAGCCTTGACCTTTTTACTGGGTACTGGTAGCTTGACATCTATTAGCTCCAATAACTGACTCCGAGCATTGGTATCCTTTGAGTCACTTTAGGTGGCCCAGGTAAGACCCTTCCTCACCCAGGAAAGTTATTTTACTCATCGTAGGACCTCAGTAGCAATACAGTAGTACTGTAGTACTACAGTAACTGCAGCAACCAAAGAGAAAACATTAGCAACACAGTTATAAGAGTCATTCCCTCGCCATAGCCTCCAGGTTTGGGAGTATATGTTCAGACAAGACAGTAAGACAAAGGATAAACGAAGAGAAATAAGGGGTACATGTAATCTACATACTGGTTGATTTAAGTCCTGGGTAAGACAATTTTAAAGTGTTTTTACTAAAAGTGAGAAACAGGGGCACCTGGGTGGCTCAGTTGGTTAAGTGTCTGACTTTGGCTCAGGTCATGATCTCACCCTTGGTGAATTTGAGCCCCACATCTGGCTCACTGCTGTCAGTTTGGAGCCTGGAGCCTGCTTTGGATCCCTTGTCCCCCTCTGTCTCTCTGCCCCTCCCCCTGCTCACATTCTCTCTCTCAAAAATGAATAAACATTTAAAAAGTAAATAAAAGGACAAACGTAGGAAATTTAGAACATAAAAGAAAAAATTTACTGTAATCTATATACTCTACCACCCTAATACAGCCACTACCAGCATTTTGGCATTTTGCATTTTTCCTTCATAGATCTTTCATTCTTATATTTCCTAACTATGTATGTCTGGGTTTTGTTTTTTTTGTTTGTTTTTGTTTTGTATCTGATTTTTTATAGTTAATCATAGTGATATATTTTTCATTTCATTTTTATTTTTAAATTAAAAAAATTTTTATTTTAGTTTTTGTAATTTTGAAAGATTTTTTTAAAGTAATTTTCCCACCCATCTTGGGGCTCAAACTCACAACCTGGAGATCAAGAGTTGCATGCTTTAGGGGCACCTGGGTGGCTCATTTGAGCGACTGACTTCGGCTCGGGTCATGATCTCACAGTTTGTGAGTTCGAGCCCCGTGTCGGGCTCTGTGCTGACAGCTCAGAATCTGGAGCCTGCTTCGGATTCTGTGTCTCCCCCTCTCTCTGCCCCTTCCCTGCTCATGCTCTGTGTCTGTCTCTCAATAATAAATAAATGTTTAAAAAAAAAAAAAGTTGCATTCTCTACTGACCGAGCCAGCCAGGCACCCTATTTTTTTTAAACATATATACACAGAGAATCTTTTTTTTTTTTTTTTAATATGGATATTTCTAGAAAGTATAGTGCTATGTGAAATAAGTCAGATAAAGACAAATACTATGATTTCACTCTTAGATAGAATTTAAGAAAGAAAACAAATGAATAAAGAAAAAAAGAGACAAATAAGAAAACAAACTCTTAAGTATAAAGAAGAAACTGATGGTTATCAAAGGGGAAGTATGTGGGGGCATGGTGAAATAGGTGATGGGGATTAAAGACTACACTTATCATGATGAGCACTGAGTAATGTATAGAATTGTTGAATCACTATATTGTATACTTGAAACTAAAATAACAGGGTATGTTAGCCATACTGGAATTAAATAAAAAGTAAAAGTCACACCAGTAGAACGTAAACATGAAATTCACGTAACTATTTGCTTTTGAAACCGTCTGTTAGTACACAGCAATCAACTGGTCAAGCATGAGCTCTTTGTGGAGCCTGACACTGCTCTTGGCAATGGGGTAAACAAAGTCCTTACTTTTGAGGATCTTGCCAGGCCAAGGAGTAGATGAGTTAATGCCAAGTATTGATAAGGGCAGTGACAAAGGTAAAATTAGCATTTCGTAATAGAGAATGAATGGTACTGATTTAGCTAGGGTGGTCAGGGAAGGCTTCTCTGAAGAAAGTGGTGTCTAAGTTAAAACCTGAATAAACGTTCTTGTCGAAAAAAGTATATTTGAGGTTATATCACCTTCTATAACTATAGAAGACCATAAGTCTTCTAAGGTAGACCAGATAGTATAAAAAATCAGCTCTGATAATTCAAAAAATCTGTGAAAATTCAACTAAACATCACTAGTAATGTTATTATTTATTGTATAAAAAGTGAGGAATATCTGCTTGATTTTTTTTTTAATTTTTAATTTTAATTTTATTCTTTTTAAAATTTACATCCAAATTAGTTAGCATATAGTGCAACAATGATTTCGGGAGTAGATTCCTTAGTGCCCCTTCCCCATTTAGCCCATCCCGCCTCCCACACCTCCTCCTGTAACCTTCTGTTTGTTCTCCGTATTTATGAGTCTCTTATGTTTTGTCCCCCTCCCTGTTTTTATGTTATTCTTGTTTCCCTTATGTTCCCTTATGTTCATCTGTTTTGTCTCTTTTTTTTT